CTGTCCGCCGGTGTGAACCCCGCACCTGAAATATTTTCCCACGAAGGGTGAGCCACGCTCAATAGGATATCTCCTAAAGAGACTACCTCCAACCTAGATGCATATGTAATGTTCACATGCAACAATCAACCATTCAAAACATTCCAATCAAGAATATGCATTCAATGATAAGAATCCTATGCTATGNGTATCGTAGTAACAAATTACCATTTTACCCCTTTTTCATAAAAGTTCAAATTTACCTGGGTTTTACATCTTCTCTAGGTTATTTTGCACTATTAAAAATATTTAATTCTAAGGTCATCTTTCCAAAATGAAAGTTTCATAACTCCATTTCTATAACTTATCAACGCATTTGACGTAGCTAGAAATGGTTGACCCAAAATAACAAGTATGTGTGCAGATGCATGAAAAATTGGTTGTGTATCTAAAACGATAAAATTTGCTAAAAAATAAAATTGATCACCTTAAATAATAACATCTTCCACAATTCCTCTTGGAGTTTTTATTGATTGGTCTGCTAATTATAGTGTAACATTAGTAGGTTTCAGTTCACTTAATCCTAATTATGTATACACTGAATATGGCATTAGATTACACCTGGCTCTAAGGTCTAACAGAGATTCTTCAATTCGAAAATTTTCAATGATGCATGAAACTGTAGGACTACCAGGAACTTTGTACTTAAGAAGAGTGTTGTGTTGTATTATAGCACTAACTTGTTTAGTTAGAAATACTTTCTTTGGTACATTAGTTTTTTTTTTTATCGTGCAAAGATCTTTTAAAAACTTAGCATAAACTGAAACTCATTTAATGGCATCCAACAAAGGAATGTTAATCTTAACTTATTTAAACATTTCAAAGATTTCAGCTTAATCTTTTTCAGATGAAGGCTTCTTGACCCTTTGAGGAAAAGGTAAAGGAATAGGACCTGGATGCTCTTTCTCATTTTGTATTTCTGATTGTTTTTCAATTGAAGGTTCAGGTTCAAGTGGTTCATTAACAAAAATTGACTTACGCATTTTCTTGAAAATTTTAGGTTTAATAGTTTTATCAATCATCTTACCACTTCTAAGTGTGATAATTGATTGTACTTGACTTGGAGAAGGTTCAGAAAACACAAAATTAACTTGATTTTGACTTTGTGGAGGTTTAGGTTGAGGTGAAAATTTTTCTTTTTCTAACATACTCAGAGACTGAGTTAACTTAGCTAGATGACTTTTGATATCTTCAATACTCTAAGAAGTTTGAGATTTAAAATCATTAAAAGCTTGAGTAGTTTGAGTATTAAAACTCATTTGAGTTTGAATAAATTGATTCATAGTATCTTCCAGAGTTCTTTATGTGGGGGTTGATATGATTGATATTGTTGTTGATTTTGTGGTTGTGGTAGACCTTGTGTTTGATTTGTGGGTTGTGTATTATTTTAACTAAAATTTGGATGATTTCTCCATCTTGGATTGTAAGTCTTAGAGTATGGATTTGAATAAGGCTTATTATAAGTTGGAACATTATTAGATTGTTTAAATTAACATTGGATTGTAAGTTTCAATTAACACTTCTTTAATTGCAGGTATAGTTGGACATTCTGCTACAAGATGTAATGACAACACACAAATTTCACATATTTGATCAGTAGTAGATATAATAGACACTTGCTTAATTTTTTTTTATTTCTAAGGCTTCTAGTTTTTGAGATAAATTAGTCATTTTAGCTCTTAAGTCATCCTCTTCTTTTCATACATATTTTTCTCTTTCGGATGTAGATGGCTTAGTTTCTATTATATTTGAAGAAGTCGAGTCCCACATCTGGGAACTCTCAGAAATAGTATCAAAAAATTGAAATGTTACTTTAAGATTTTCTCATAAATTCTCCCTGCGCCATCATTTCAACGAATTGTCGCATTGCAGGTGGAAGAGCATCACAAAAAAACCAACTAAAGTCCAATTTTCAAATGCATGATGTGTACAAGCTTGGAGAAGATCTTTAAATCTTTCCCAANAGATTTTCTCATAAATTCTCCCTACGCCATCATTTCAACGAATTGTCGCAATGCAGGTGGAAGAGCATCACAAAAAAACCAACTAAAGTCCAATTTTCAAATGCATGATGTGTACAAGCTTGGAGAAGATCTTTAAATCTTTCCCAATATCGATAAAAAATTTCACCTTCTTTTACAGAAAAATTCATTATTTGATGTCTTAATGTATTTGTACAGGAAAAAACATTTTAAAAAACTTAATTTGTAAAGCTTGCCAATTTGTTATAAAATTAGCTCTTAAAGAGTTAAGCCACTGTTTCGCTTTATCTTTCAAGGAAAAAGGAAAAAGTTTTAATGTGATCATTTTCAGAATTATCTTGCAAAGTTCCACAGACTTCTTCAAATTCTTTCGTATGCACATAAGGATTTCCAGTTTCTAAACCATGAAACTATGGTAAGAACTGTATTGTTCTTGGCTTAATACTAAGATTTGGAGCATCTATTGGAAAAGCAAAACATGACGGGACATTAGTTCATGTAGGATGTAAATATTCTCTTAATGGTTGAACATTTTGAACTACTTCTTGTTCTCTAGGATATTCTTCCCTAGGTACGTTTCTAGTTATACTTAATTCAAATGATTCTTGTGTACATGAAGATGATGAAGACATGGAGATGACTTCTTTATAGAACCTACTGATGAATGAACAGACATAAACTATTAAAAAGAAAACAAAAAATTTATAAACATATAATACAAGTAAACAAATTCTCTATTTTATTTAATTTCAAATTACCATAACTCCCCGCCAACTGCGCCAAAAATTTGATTCGAACTATTTTGTGATCGGATTTATACTATACACCCAAGTATAAGTGGTCAAATTTTAGTTTTCTCGGTTTAAGCCCAAGATCGATCACATGAAAAGTTTTAATAATTATAATTTAAAATAAGAACAGTAAAGTTATTGTCAAAGCAGTGTAACATGAGATAACTTGTGATGTGAGCTTATACTGATAACTAGTCTAAGTAAATAAAATATGTAAACAAATTTTTAAAAGACAATAATATGAAAAGTACCTTTCAATTTAAGGATCTCATATGCTCTATATTGGTTACATATTGGAAATACTACCTTACAACAATTAACTTCCATGTCACTAGAAAGTCAACCGGTAGGTCTGATGTATATCAATTATATCACAATAACTTCTTAAGTTAGCTGATGGTATACATGTCAACTAACTAATCCAAGTAACCCAGAAGGTCAATCCATTCATGAGGATTGTTTGAATTACTCAATTGGTAATAGTATAGCAAGTATATGCATACTAAACCATAACACAGTAACTTCTTAGGTTAGCTGGTGGTATTATTNCTAAACCATAACACAATAACTTCTTAGGTTAGCTGGTGGTATTATTAAACCATAACACAGCAACTTCTTAGGTTAGTTGGTTATATAACAATTGACTAATCCAAACAAACCAGAAGGACAAGCCATTCATGAGGATCACTTAAATCAACAATCTGACAATTATATATATTGTATCAATTAAACAATCCTAGTAATCCAGAAGGTCAAGTCATTCACGAGGATCACTTAGATTATTAATCTGACAACTGTACCATGCAACAGTAGAACATTCTCAGTGCTCCTGGAGGACTAGCCATGCCATTGGAACACCATAGATATTTAACCGGCAGGCTAATGATTCAATGATGAAACACCCAATGACGTATATTACTATATCATGCATGAAATTCACAATGATATATATATATATATATAGCATAATAAAACATCAGCATTTTCAGAATTTAATCAGTATTATACATATGTTCACACCTTACTAAAGGGTATAAGTAAATACTCACACCCCATTACTATAAATAAGTAAGAAGTGCGGGTAATTATTATTACAACAGTAAATAAAATATAGACATTGACATTTCTTTCGCAAGAAACAATTGAAATACAATCAACCTTAATATTGACTAAGACACAAAGGAAGCAGCACAACTCTCCAACTAGAAAGACATAATATAAATGTAGAAATACAGAGTTTTGGCTGGAGAGTAGGACAAATCGAATCTTGAACTCTCTATGACTTTCTCTCTTTCTCTTTTCATTTTCTCCTTTTCTTTCTCTCTTTTTCCTTTCTTTCTCTCCTCTCCCAGCCCAGCCCAATCGGTTTCAAATAAAGACAACATGCCATATATATATGTAAAGATGAAGCATGAGGTGGTGGATTAGCACCAACCGCCTAACACCACCGTCCGGACACCACCACCATCATTCAGACGGTCCTTGTTTGCTGGTGGAGCTTCCATGACCTTCTTGCATGTTCTTATTGTTGAATGATACTTGCATCCCTTGTTGTTTCAAGCTTTGATAGAGTGCTCCACATATTTTCTGGTAATTTCACTCAAAAACCCTGAAATTCAGATAGTACACAAATAAAACCCTAACTTACACACAAACCCTAATACACAGTTTTTAACTATTTTATCTTCTAAAATTAACTTATTTAATTATATTAATTTACATATTAACTAGGGTTAATCACCTACTCCCGTGATATTCCAAGATAGAAAAGAAATCATAAAATTTGAGAAGAAAGGTTACCTCCAAACCTAAGTCTAATAGAAACCTCTGCAAAAAACTCATCCAAAGAACTGGACCCAAAATCATTGGAATTCAGCTCTCCTTGTTTTGTGATCTGCAAACCCACTCTCCTAATTCTGAATGAACTACCCCCTTAAAAACATAACCCTTATCAGGAGGCTCTGTCCTTTTGACAATACTCAACTCATCATCCAAAGAAATCCCCATACCCATCCTTGTCTCAAATTGATTATCAATATAGAAGGAATCATAAGTCACAAGTGAAAATTGCTTGTTAATCTTACAACAACTTAAATNCCATCCTTGTCTCAAATTGATTATCAATATAGAAGGAATCATAAGTCACAAGTGAAAATTGCTTGTTAATCTTACAACAACTTAAATTTTCCTAAACACTCCCAAGAATTTGAGATTGTATAAAAGAGGAAATTCTCTCATCACACACCCTCTCAGCAATCCACCCCTCACAACTTCCAGATGTTTCCTTATTGACACAACCACCCTCCTCAACATCAGTCTCAACCACACACTGCTTAGCCAATAAGACTTCAAACAAAGTGTCCTCTTGCACATTCTCTCTATTGCATTCTTTATGAACATCCAAATCCTGCGCCCCTTACAACCCCACTTATCTCATGTTCCTCCACAAAAACCCCTTTAGCAATCAATTTCACAGAAAGAGACTCAATCGGCTGCCTCTTCCTTGAAGAACTACCTTTCTCTAGAACAATGCCTTCATCTCCACCATCCTTCTACAAAACATCAAACATATTCTCATTCTCCTGCACCCCAATAGTTTTGTGCCTAAACTCAACCATACACTTGTGCTTCTGAGTCACCTTCACAAAACCATCCCCTTTCCCATCTTTCGCCTCTATGTTATAATTATCCTCCCTTGAAGGAAAATCCTTGACTTCTAGAATCGAAATGTTCTCTCCTTTCTCACCTTGACAACATCCTCCTTTTTCTTTACACATGTCGTCAGTATGCCCTTGTTTCAAACACCTAGGGCAATACTTACACTCCTTTTCATAACAAATACATTGCCATTGACCACTTGAGCCCCCCATATCCAGCCAAAATCTTTTCGGATTCTCAGCCAAAAAATTTATTTCCACACAGATCCTAGCAACCCCAGGCCTTGAAAGTTGTAGCATAGGATTGTCAATAACCAGAATCCTACTAATGGGACTTAGAATGCCCCTAAGACTTTCTCCATTAAAGAGATGAATGGGCAATCCAAGTAGTGAAATCTAAATAGAGACAATTGGGGTATCAATACCTGGTTGTAATTCTGGGAACCTTTTGAAGAAACGAAACAAGTAGCTTTCAATATATGTTGCATCCTTCAACCAGGTCTTGACATAATCTTCATACAACGTAAAGCGAATTAACATATGCCTTGGATCAAGAACTCCAATTGTAAAGTCTCCTTTAGGAAGCCATCTTTAATTAACAAACTCCTTTATCACCCCCAACAAAGGCCTCCCATAGGCACATTAGCCATCGAAGGAATTGAAGACTCAGACACCAAAGGAATTAGACCACTATCAAATGAAGAAATATGAACAATCGAAGAAACTTGAATAGTCGAGGGAATTGAGAGATCGAGGGAATTTGTGTTAACGAATGGATTTAAGTGATTATGGGGATTTGGCTAAACGAATAGATTTGACTAACCAGAGGAGGATTGGGCGGTATAGTAGAAGGAATTCCAAGACTAGGTGATTCGCAGAAGACAAAGATTCATTCTCAAACCCAGATCTCACTTCAACAGTTTTCAAAAAACTCGAAGGGTTCTTAAACAAGGATGCAAAATTCTTCTTAATATCTGGAGGTTTGGGGGGAATTTGATGTTGAAATTGCTCAAAAGTCATGATTATTCACAAAGAATCAATACCAATGGCCAAAAATCAAAGAGGAATCAAGAAAATCAAAGGAAAGTTTTAGAGAGAAGTCAAAGCTTCTTCTCTAAAATAGAAATAACTGCCTCATCTGGAGATGTTTTAATGTTTATGGATATGCTTAAATAGGGCAAGAAATGGATTGGTGAGGTATGAGAAACTGAAATGCAGATCTGGTAAAGATAGGTTTAACTCAAATCAGAGAATTAGCAAGGGAAAATTTTGGTAATGAAATTAAATACTTAATTTATTTTTATTTTTTAAATTGAGTGGGTATTTTTCTAAGATATGTTTTAATATGTATTTGCATGGCATATTTCCTTAAGTTGTTCACTACCTAGTCTAGGGTCTCTCCACCTCTCGAAGGCTACATAGTAGCTTGAAGAGGTGTAAATCCTCTATGTTAGCCAAGTGGGGGAAAGATAGAATGGATAGAAAGAAATAGAAAGAGAGAGGAATGAATAGTGAAGAGAGAGGAAGCACAAGGAGAAATTCAGAGAAGGAACAGTTGAAGTCGGAGTTACA